TATATGTATATGTATATATATGTATATGTATATATATGTATGTATGTATATATATATATATATATATATATATATATATATATATATATATATATATATATATATATATATATATATATATATATATATATATATATATATATATATATATATATATATATATATATATATATATAATGTTAAGTGTGTAATTGTACACTCTGTAATATGTTAAGATGAAAATGTTCTAGAGTGTGTATTATATAATTTCCATACCCAGCGCAAGCAGAAAGATGTTGTCTGCCGCGGCTGGGTCTTGAACCCGCGACCTTCGAATTACTAGATCGACGCTCTACCAACTGAGCTACATGGTCAGACGGATTTAAGACTGGAAATTATGAAATATATACTGAATGTACTATAAAGAACACTTTAAAACGTTTTGCGAAGCGTTTGTGGTTGAATTTTACATTAAATTGAAGCTAAAAGTGATATTTTTAAGCGATTTTTCATTTGTAAGAATATTCTTAAAAATTATCGTGTTACCATGGCAACTACTTTAGATACTTAATTTTCGTAAAATACAATGGTTTTGTCAGCAAGGCGAGGGTTTCTGCATGCATGTATTTTCTAGTATGATAGTAATATGTACATGATTATAGGTACAGTATATTCATGCATTAGTTTTACTGGCTGTTATTTTATGACCATCCTGGAACAACATTTATTTTTCCCAAGAGATTTTACTTGCATGATGGTAGTAAGTTTAATAGTAACAGAGAAGTGTGATGGATATGCCCAAGTAAATTATCATTAGAAATATAAATATTGAACTGTAATTTTGACCATTGTAAATGTATTATAATTAAAGAAACAAAATACAAAAGTTGAACAAGGCTATTTAACGTAATACAGTCATAATACCAGACTGGTTAAATAACTACTGAATGGAGGGATCATGAAAATCTTCTAAGATTACTAGATCATAGCTATAGTTATCTGCAAGACTGTACACATACAGACAACATATATTCTGTTTTACGTCCGGTCTATACGCTGCATTTTACATCTGCCAAGTCTAGAAAAGTTTGTTCAACATTTTAAGTGTTACCAAGTTATTTTACTCAGCTTAACATGTCATATGTTTGGTTGTACTGGTCAATGTGAGAGTGCTATACTGCTCAATGGACAATGGGTTAAACAGACTATCTATTGTACTTTACTATTTTACTCTGTCTAATGCCAGACAATTTTACTCATCAAGGGGAGAGTGCTGGCTCTCGATGGGTCAAGACTGTAAAGTGCGACATCAGTCGAATATTTAATTAACTTAAAGGTCTCATCTAATGTGTGTCAATCAATAATTAGTATAATTGCAAAGTAATTACTTTGGACAAATGTATAAGTTACATATGTTCACTACATACGTAAATTTAACGTTTATATCAAAATGTCAAACTTTATTATTTGAGTCAAACCATGTAAAATCACATTACTAGATTTGGCATATGTAAAATGAGGCATTAGACCGAGACAATGAGAATAAAAACCTGAAATATTATGTGCATCCCACCCCACCATTAGTAACCCCAGATATACCAATTGTTTGTAGAATTTACAGCTTCCTGCAAGGTATTATATATGACTGCAAATTGTGAGCTAGTGTAATGTACAGTATAATAATACAGCACATTATATGACTTGAAATATATATTTTTTTGCCAGCCATTTCCAATTACAAAATTATCCATGTTGTTAAACTATGATTGGCCTAAAATTTTTGGCTAAAGTTTGTTTTAATTTATAAACATTGTATTACTACTTTAGGAAGGATTTCAGGCCTTGCTATGGAAGGAATGGTATATGTCGGGAAGTTTGTTTCCAGGTGTTCTAATGTTGGTAGTGACAGTCAGCATCAACTCAGAGAAAGAAATAAATGCATCAACTCAGAGAAAGAAAGAAATTGCATCAACAAAATAAAGAATATTGTGTCATTGATAAATATTGATTTATTCTTACAATTTCCTCTATGAAAATTTGGTGTGTTAATTATTAATGGGATACTGTAAAAAATAAATAATAGCTTTATGGTGCATTCATGCTGTACTTTAATATTGCAGTGGTGTAGGAAATGGAGGTGTGTGGGTACCAGTGGGCTTGCGTGGGGGGGGGGGGATGGGCAGAGGCTCCAGTAATTCCCCAACAAGGAATATCAGGTGGCTATAATCTTTCGAACAGTAAAATTATTATTTTGTATATTCAACTTATGTTCACACATGAAAAAGTTGAATTTTTGGATTCTGAAATCGTGCAGAAATTATTGTCTGTACAACAGTGCAAAACATGGTCATTACAAAACATAATTCTTACCAGTATAATGCATTTCCTTGATTGGGCAGGGGCTAGAATTTTCACGAAGCAGAGCTATGCCTACGGCCACAAACCTGACTCTTGCACCACTTTCTCTTCAAAAGTTTCCTGTCTTGCCCAATTTCTCTTCAAAAGTTTCCAAATTATAAATTCGGTGCTGTTGACATGAAGTGCTCCTCAATTTTAAATTTCAAAGCACAAAATTGAAAAAGTTGTTAGGAGGCTCATCACCAGTGGTGGACACCAGGGGTCACGAGGGAAGCTCTGAAAGCCTTTAAATGAAAGCCAAATAACTGCATGTGTAGGAAAGCTGCTGCAACAATATAATTTGTCAACTGTAAAAACATTGATAGCCTATAAATTAAGCTCTATATTGCATGCAATTTAAGGCAAAAAAAGGTTGAAGAACTAACATTTCCAGCAATTGTATCTGCAAAATTAAACTATTGAATAATTATATTAATCACTTTGTCATTATTAAATACAATTTGTCATTATTAAATACATTTAATGTAAAATATAATCTTTATATCAATTTAGAACCTCTGATAAAATTGATATAAAATCAATAAAAGTATGTCAATTTATATTTCATAATATACTATACTATATTTATAATATTATGTATGGTTTCGAGTCTTTTGCATTGAACAACAACTACACAGACACTCACGATCAGGATTTTGTCATTTGTAATTGAAAGATTCAAGACATCACTCACAATTTTTGTAGATTTGTACAATAAATATTATAAACGGTACAGTCTTTCTCACATAGTCTTTCGTCTGTCTTTGTTACTTTGTATATAAAATGTCCCTTTGGGCTTTGGCGATTTCAATATTTAAATAAATTTCCATTGACAGACAGCAGATTTCAACGACCAAAACAACTCTTCTACACACTCCTTATAGTCAGCCATATTTACAACTTCATGCTCAATTTCCGCATTCCATTGTATTCATGCGACCAATCAAATCACTTCTCGTTTTGGTTTTCACCAGGGCCTTCGGCAACGCAGTGTCAGCCGTGAGGCCCTGGGACCGAGGATGATGACGCGAGCCAACAGATCATGACACTTTTGCATATAAAAAGGGCGCGTGAATTTGAACAAGCACATATTATTAGCACTGATGAAGATCCGGGCTTACGGATCGAAAGCTTTGCAGCAATAAATTTACGTGGTGTTTCCACAAACAAAACTATATGTTTTTATTCAATGCCATGCAAACGTACAAAGAACTTATTGTTTTGTTCGCTTTGGCAACCCTCATATATATCAGATGCTATTCGACTTCAAATTCGACTTAACAAACACTGACATTCATCAGTTGATGGTACTGTATAAGGTGCGTACTGTACATTTTACTGAATTTATTTTCACAATTGATTTTACATTTTCTCAGACTATATTTCAGCCTTCATGAACACATATGACACATGTCACTATTTAAATGACATACAGAAAGACTTCATATTGTCTCATCAGTTTAATAATAAAATTATGATAACAGTGGAAATGCTTAGAGAGATCCCATTCTGTTTTCCATATACAGTACAACTGTTATTTCGATATTATTAGCACTGATGAAGATGGCAACCAGGGTAGGAAAGGAAAGTCCTTGAATTTGACTCTCTCTGACATGTACGAACCCTGGCAAATACGCGCGGATGTTTGACCGCGGTGTTATTTATCTTGAATATTTATTATTTATTAAAAATGAACTCTTTTGTAACCGAAAGGTTAAATTACAGAAGTTCTTAGCAACATGAAGTTATGACTAAAAAATATACTACAACATATTACAATAAGAACTAGAAAATACATGCATGCAAAAACCCTCGCCTTACTGACAGAACATGTTTTCTGAATATGAAGAATTGAAAGTAGTTGTCATGGTAACACGATAATTTTAAGCAAGCCCGTAGCTGGGTCTCAATTTCTGGGGGGGCACTCAATGCAGAAAAAATGTTACCGACGAAAAAATTTTTCTCCGGAATTTATTTTGGCGACCTCCCCCCCCGTCCCCAAAAAAATTTCGGTCAGTGTACCATTTTAGGGGTCAAAAATTTTTTCCGGACATACCAATTTTTCCGGAAATACTCAAATTTTTCTGAAACACAACTAAATTTTTATAAAATTACTAAATTTCCCACAAAATTTACAGAATTTTTTCCATTATTACAATTGGTTCCCAGGCCTTTTATCTCTATTTTTCATGCCCGATTTCCGAGTGGGGGGGGGGCACTGGGGGCACTGCCACACCGAGTGAGAGGGCATTGCCCCCAGCCCCAACTTCCACGGGCCTGATTTTAAGACTAGATAGTTTTAAAATTGAAAAATCCCCCCATAATATCACTTTTAATAACAAAATTATCAATTTCCCAATCATATATATGCTAAGTATGTTATTATACGTAATATAAGCTTCAACTTGATGTAAAATTCAACTACAAACGCTTCGCAAAACGTTTTAAAATCTTCTTAGAACTAAACGGCCTTTTATCGAATTATCGGCAAACATTGAGATTTGAGTTTGAAATAAACTGATTTCAAATTCTCGCATCAAAATAACTTTGGTTTCCTCTTTATTTAAATACTTTAATATATACAAAAGAAAGGGTAATTAATAAAGCTACACTGAAATTAGATGCTGCCTTTGTTCACTTTATATATAGGCAATGATAGTATCAGCTTCGATATTCGCAGTATCGTCCACCACTATATCAGTTATAAATATATCGATTATAAAACAAACATTACATCAATATTTAAAACAAACTTACCTTCATTAACGTCGGCGACTATTCTTTTAGACGTTTTTAGACGTTTTTTGGCTCTCAGAAAGGTTTTGAAATTTACAAAATCTTGCAAAAATACAACTTGCAAGAAATGTTTGTTATTTTGCTGTCGTCAATGCAGTCGTTACAATGCAAATTTCAAATTTGACCAGTCAGTGTTCACTATTCACGACAGTCCGCTACATATTTTGAGATCAGTGAGGATGACCACCCATGAACCATGAACGGTGAGCCACGCGCCCACGATATTTGATGAACTTTAGACTTCGCTAGTGCGTTCCTTTCCCCGGGTGTAAATAGCCGGGGGGGAATTAGTACCCGCGCAGTCGGCTCGGGGATAAATTGTGATGGCTAAATACTAAAATAACTAGGTTATAATCCTACTATTCTTTTTGAAAAACATTTGGGAAAAAAAGACTGTTTGAAGTGGTCCGTTTTGCAGACAATTATTAAATTTACGTGGTAATCTTAAGTCATAATTTGATTTGGAAACAAGTCCGTCATTGTGTTATTATTCATATTTTGTCTAAAGAATTGGTCGCAAAGCCAAAGGCTTTTACGCCGGTCGTACAGTGTAGTGATATATACCCGTAATCTTTAATGCCTCGCCATAACTTGAAAAGGGGACAATGATCTTTAGTGCGCGTTTCTGGATTCG